CTGCTGAACGGAGACGGAGCTGAATGTGAGGGGAGGCCTGCGGAGGAGGCGGAGGAGGAGGAGGAGGTGGTGGTCGTGGGGGATTGTTGAAGGAAAAACAGTGGCGGCAATAAATAGTCCGTGTTTTACTCCAATCTCCTCCCTCATATGTATGTCTACTGTGTGTTTTCATTAAAGAGATCTCTGGTTGCGACATGTTTTTAAGAGGAATTAACATTTTATTTCACAGAAAGTCACACAGACTTTTTCCTTGACTTCATTTTTCCACCGCGCTGATTTACACGCGTGCGTCTGAGGCTGGAAAAGACTTCGGCATTACTGAGATTCATTCTGAGAGTGATTACATACCTAACAGTTATTGAACCGATATCCACCGAGCTGCATTTTTCCGTCTTTGGTATTTTATGATGCCACTTACATATTGTGTCCCAGCTCGATTTGAAGCCGTTCATCACAAAGCTTCATTATTCCCGAGCTTTCATCGTGAAAATCGAGGGCGCGAGAGCTGTACTCAAAGAAATACTGACACATGGACTCGTGTTTGCAGCTGGAAATCTACCCGAAGAATTTTGCATGCAAAAGAAACGACTTGAGATTTTACTGTGTGTTGATTTTTATTGACTTCTCGTAAAAAGAAATGTTTATTAAAGAGAATTAGAGTAAAAATCTGAATTATATTCCGCACTAATAAATCATAAAGAGTCTGTTTTTGGAGAGTTTGACTGCGTGTTCAGCAATGTGCAGTTTCCACGCAGATGTGTAGCCCCTTATTTAAGCTTAAGTACCAGATGTGTTCAGGCTGCCAGATCGGCGCCCATTGAGGACGTCTCGCTGTATGATTGGTTGAAAGTTGGTCATTACATTACGGAAGCGGTTTCTACCAGATTAGGTTTCATGGGATTGTAGTTTTTTGGAGAAAACATGGACCAATTTTACGAAGCAATCTATCACTACGAAAGGAAATGTGGAACAAAAGCAAAACTATCTGTTGATAAACGGAGCTCCTGCGTACATCCTTTTTTCTTTTTCCTCTAGACAAGTTAACATTTACAGTTAAAGCCATCTAAAAATCACAGGACAGTAAACGGAAATAAAGAAAACCATGAGCGGCTTTTAACCGAGCACATTTGACTTATTAAAGGGAGCGCAATCTAGTTTGTCCGAGTGGACTTGCCGTAGTGTGACGTCTTCAAAAGGCTCTGGGCCCCGAACACATCTGTGGCACCTCAACCAGTGAGGCCACCTGTTGGTTTTCGGAGCCAATTAAAGGTGGTCGCCATATTGGAAAAGCTGATCCGACTTAATTGGATCAATTTTGCTCAAATCTACAAATCTATGCATTAGGGTTGTCAACGAATACTCTAAATTCGAATATTTAAAAAAAGAGAGATTTGAATGTGAAAATTAATATTCAAATATTAAATAAACGGGAAAAAAAACTAAGTGGGAAAAAAACGGAAAATGAAGAAAAAAAAAGACAGCAGCTGCTTTTCGAGTTGAGCATCCCTATGGGTTAGGGACGGGTCACAGGAGCAGCACCTGAGTGAGACTCGACAAAAACGTCAGTGCCACATGCAGAGAGAGATGTCGGGAGAGGGTGGTCTGGACTCCAACGAACTTTTGACGCTCCATTTGGAAATTCTTTGGACTTTGGGCAAACACAGCTGAGCGAGATAAAGTTATGTGCAAACTAGATATTCAAATATGCTTGAACCTGTGTGTTATTTTTAGAACAAATATTCAAACATCATCTTGGAGCAATTTTGACAGCTTAAAAAGCATGTTTTTTAATTGCTGAGTTATTGGAAAAAATGTATTTTGAAGAAGGAAATAAGGGACTAAAAATCATGTTTAATTCTGCCCAAAAAGTTGGAATCGCTATCCTGCTACAAAACTTTACAAGTTTAAGACTCTGCATAACAACCCGTCTGATAATAGATGATCAATTAGCTGCACTGAACTCTTAAAAGGCCTAAACTATCAACTGCATTCAACTACAATCAAATACCTGCAAATGACTTTTGCATGCACTGTGAAGAAACTTTGTCAAAATCCTGATGCGTTGTTGCCAAAAATTAAAGCATGCATAGCAGCCATTATCATCTGTTATCTATATGCAAATAAACCCGTTTAATTGGAACCAGTCAATCTGCAGGTCGTTATCGGGGTTTTAACGTTACTCCGCTCTCTCTCTCTGAGCTGAGTCGCACCATGACTCGCTCCGTCAACGTCGTTGTTATCTTGTACCTTCTCCTCCCTCCGCTCATGGAGTCACGGAGTTGCACAGTGACAAAGAGCGCCTGAAATCAAAGAGAGGCAGGCAGAAGAAATATGTAATCATTATGGCGGCTACAATAGCAGCTCTCATTCATAAATCTCCCGCACAAAAGGGCCCCGCTTAACTCTCTTTGTGCGCACCGGGAACAAACAGGCACAGATCCATTGTCCATTCAAAACCTGCGCAAATGTGAGGAAAACACACGTGAAATCCACAATGTATGGGTCAAAGTATAGTGACACTTAAAGACACACACACATAACAACATATACACACAAACACACACACACAACGGGCCTCGCAGCCGCCACAATAGCGTCTTTATGACATAAGCCTCTTTTCACTACAGTGCTTCACAAAGGCAAATGAGATTTTTCCTATAGCAGGCCTCCAGCAATAACAATTGACATCACAGGCCGGCCTACGTATGTTTCCCATATTAAACTGGGAGACACACACACACACACACACACACACACACTAAGCTCCTGGAGAATGAGTCCAAACAGCCTGCTGAGGCAGCAGTTTTCCTTCGTGCAGCGGCAGGCCCTCCTTCGGGGAACCATCGGCTGCAGGGACCGTGGCAAACGACTGTTTTATTTGGTTACACACCGGCTGCGAGCCAAGACAAATGAACTACCTCTAACAATGCTGCGCTACGGTCGACCTGATTGGTCGTTCCCGGTGTCGTCTCATCTCAGGCTGAACTGTCGAACAATGTTTACTCCCAAAACATGATGTCAACAGGAGACGATTAAAAAAAAAAACCCAACAGGTGGATCTGAGGGAGAGGTAGGAGGTTCACACAAGAACACACGTAACCATTCAGACCTCTGGAAACTTTACTCTAATGACGACACTTTAGGTTTTATGTTTTTAAGTCAGTTTCTTTTATCAGTTTTTATCCAAATTTATCAAAATATTTAAGTTATCGGAGTGAAAACAATGATTTAAGAGTACAAGTGTTACATGGCAGCTGTTGGCCTGTCATTATTAGTCCTAATTAGTGGGTGCTAATGAGTACAAACAGAAACTCCTGTTGTTAGATTATAATGAAATCAGAGTGTAAAAAGAATGCAGTTCCTAAATTGTCCACTAGAGGCGGGCTCCAAAAGCCAGGAAAACACCATTAGAGCCCATATAAGGATATGACTAATGACAGCAGAAGATATCCTGGTTTTAAAAATGATGCTCAAATAGGGGCGTGGCTTATTTGACTGACAGGTGAGAAGACTTTGGCTTCAACTCGTCCTCTTTGCAGGTTTCTGGATCAGCCTGAGGTCAGTTGACGACCACCATTGTTGGGCTTTAAAAAACATGAGTGTGTTTAATTCTGTCACCAGAATCACTAATCCTAATTGTTTAAAGCAAACAAGCGTCTCATGGCACTGCAAAGTGTGGCGGTCCGAGGCTGGATTCAAAGAGCAACTGAAATTTTTAGTCTGCATTTTTGACACCAGTGAAACAGTTGAATGATTATGATTGTCTTCTGACTATTCCAGGAACCACATTTCCCCAAAAATACACATCACATGTACGTCAGTTTTTAAGATTTCTTGTAAAACAAAAAATCGTGATACTTATGTGAATCCATTTTCTCCCACCCCTAACAAACAGCCAATGAAAAGGGGAGTTTTTCCAGGTCCGCCTCACGCTGAACAAATCATGTGCTGAATTAGAACCAAGTAGCAAACAACTGCGTAGTAGCAGACAGCAGCTACACACAACCATCGCACTTACGACAAAACACCGTAGAGACACAAACACCTTACAAATGCAGTAGATTATTTTACTGCAAAAGACACGCTACCAATACACACTGATAAATTTCATTTTTCGACTGATATGACAAAAAGATATCATGATAAACTTTTCCCCATATCGCCCAGCCCTAGTGTCAAGCCCTGGATAAAGATCTTTTGGCGGGTCTCTGCTCTCCTGTAGTCCTGAATCCGATGGCATAAATGTTCCGTGTTAAATTCAGGATTAAAAAATAAGTCCAAACGGCGAATTGAGCTGTCTGCACCTGGTTTAATAATCATACGAGGTGTTTATCGTCACTCGTGTCTTCATGGACGCTTAACTAGCTTCTCAGCTTCCCTTTTATTTATGCATTGTTACTATTTCGAGCCAAACTTCCAGGGGCTTCAGGTGCATCTTGCATTTCTTCTGTGTGAAACCCTCTGGCACAAATGTCAGCGGGCCACCACGCCGCCATCTATCCCACCGTCTAAAGTGTGTTAGATTACGTGGCAGAAACCCGAGTCCCGAGCCCCGTCAGCTCGATACCCGAGCTGAACGCCGCTCCTCTGCAACACCCCGTCATCGCTGGACACCACAGTCCACACTTGTGCTAATCCAGCAGCGTGCAGAGAACATAGCATACCATATATACAAATAGACATGAGGCTGGAGCGTGTCAGGGGCATGTCGTGTAAGAATACGTTCCCAGGCGCTGTACTGCCCTGGGAACTTCATGACACGAGGAATGAACCTGATGTGTGTGTGTGTGTGTGTTTGTGTGTGTGTTTGTGTCGCAGAGAGACAGAGACGTTTTCTGAGCTGTCCGTCAAACTCGACATTTCTATCGCCAGATCCTCGATTCTCCCTCTCTTTCTTGTTTTTCACTTCTCCCTCCATCCCTCCACTGCGAGCCAAAACACTCACCACCATCTCATGATGACAACGGCCCGATTAAAGGCTTCTTTACGGCCTGGAAACCATGGCAACGCCCTGCGTAGACAAGCTGGCCGAAGACCAATCAGATTTCGGCTTCGGTGGGTGGGACCTCTATATCTTGGCCCTCAGCGCTTCACCACAGGGACATTTCGGAGGCCTCGCACCCCGCACCAACGCTGCCACGCCCCATTACTCCAAAACCACTATGAGCGGTAAAGTGAAGGTTAGCCAGGCCGCCTTTTTCAGAGGAGGGTGACACTCGTGGAGAGGGGAGGAGCCGAGGGAATGACACCAGCAGAGTAAACAACACTGAGAGCGCGGAGAACAATCACACGGGGATGTTTGAACTTGGAACTTTGTCTATTTTACTTTGTTTGTGGAGGTGAGAACAAAGCGACGGACCTGCTTCTGCTGTGTCAGAGAGAGATCACAAGACTGAATCATGAAGGACGGGAGGATTGCTACGAGTTGCATCATGGGAAATGAAGGCTGGAGCATTAATAGAGATGAACCTGCAGCTTCGGTTTGGTCATTTTACTGCAGCCCTCCAATTACCCTACTTAGAGTTAGGGCGGGGCGATACGGCCTCAAATCAATATCACGATATATCAATAATGGACGATAACGTCTTTGTCTACTTCAGCCGCTCCAACTTTTGAACCGTCCTCCATCTCATCACCTGTCTTTCCCTCTTTGTTACGACAGACTGGATGGGGTGGAGTCACGTCTCTAAATTTCGGTATCAGTAAATTTTTGGTTTATCGCCCAGCCCTAGCGGGAAGTCTTTATGCTATTCCAACTCCAAACATGGAGAGAATCAACACTTGCTACTCAAACTAGCTGGGATTGGTTCTTGATTTCCGTCCCTAACTGTGGCGTCACTCTTTTCGCCAGTTTGCACCACGACAAAACCCTACTTTATAAGTTTGCACCAAAGATGTTTACTTATTTACTTTTTTTGACACATTATATACCGATATGGGCAAAATGACGTAGGTTATTGTAAATTTCTTTCATGGTAAATTTAAGTTTGTCGCCCAGCCCTACTTAAGGTGACCATACCTCCTCTTTTACCCGTGTCATGTCCTCTTTTTGGGGTTGTTCGACTTTGTCTGGGGAGTTTATAAAATCCTTCAAATGTCTTTCAGTCAGTGTCGCGTGGACTCAGTGAGTTAGAAGTGTGTAAAAAACACTCGACCTGACCCTAAAACCCCCCAAAATTAACTACACACAACTCCGTGACTCACATAGTAGTGTCCTCTTATAACCATCTTGACCAAAATCCACTCCCTTTGTGAGTCCGACAGCTTTTACTGGATAAACTTTGTGTGTTTCTGTGATTCTCTCTGTCTCTGTGTTGCTTTATATATCTAAGTTTAAGTGTAATCGTGTCGTTTGTGTTGTTGTCTGACTTTACTAAAAGGAGGCTGCCATCTTTGTCTGCAGTATCTGTGATCAGCTGACCTGATAACCTCGAGTGAGACGCCCTGCAGAGCCTGACACTCACATATTTAAGGATATGAATAACCAGGTTTCTCCGAGACGCCGCATTTCAAATACAATCAAGACTCATAACCGGGGAGCTCGAGTCTGTCTCAGCACACTCGTTATAAAAGGTAACTGATCTGTTTTTTTCCTATTCCAGCTTTTATTTTCCAGATACACTCAATTACTCTCCAACCTCGTACACAAAGCACCAATCTAATGAGTCATGTACAAAAGAGTGCATAAAACTAAGAAAAAACAGAGAGAGAGTCTGTGTGTGTGTGTGAGTGTGTGTCTGTGTGTGCGTCTGCTCTTTTGTCAGGCCGCAGAAAATTAGTTTATTCCTTCCAACGAGTTTTTGAATACAATGCTTGTGTTTGCTTTTGATTGAAACGCCACTTTCTGCAGCTTACAGAGAGCGGAGGAGCCTTTTCTCCTCGCCACAAACATTTTGGCACTTTTTTATTTCTCTTCTTCTCTGACTAATTTACAGCGGAGGGTTAAAACCTGCAGCGTTTTCACCGACAGAAAACTCGAACATGCACTCTCTCACATCCTCGAGCACCTGGGAGGGTTTCGTGCAACATTAACAACAGACTTTTATCAAAAGGGAGAGCAAATAATTTGCTTTGTTTGTTTTAACCTGCAGGGAGTGCCAGAGGGGTGGGGTTTATGTGTCATGACAATTCAGAAAGAGTCAGCGCGGCTGTCAGGCCCACAAAAGACGAGTAAATGTATCTTTAAACACTTTCATTTGATTGTCAAAACTTTCAGGCACCCTTATTGTCTTACATATCAAACCCCACCCTTCTGGTTCTTAAGCTGGATAAACCAAACCTGCAGATGTTTGCTCATGACACCCACTTTCCCATATTAACTCCTCACATTATACGCAGCACACACAGAGAGAGAGACACGAGTTATTTTAGGGCTTTTTTTCTCAATAATCGAGGAGGGGAAAGTTTTCGGTGTCTGAGTATCCTTCAGTGAACTTTTCCCGGGATCAGACTCTGACGGCAGAAAAAGGAAAAGTCAAAGAGAAAAGTCTGAAAGCTCGAACAGCTCCTGGACATGCAGACACGCTGGCATGTGATTCCTCTTTTCTGTAAAATCAGCAGCAGCGGTGTAATCGCCAAAGCATCTGCTGTTACTGCTGCAACCCAAGGCCGTGACTGACGGATAAAGAGCCACTTGAGCACCAGCGTCAGTCACCTGGTCACCCTGTAGTCCTGTTAGACATACCTGAACTCTCCGCTCTGATTGGCCGAATCCGAGAGAACAATTACAACTCCTAATCTCTTCGTTTATCTCTGTGAAGAAGCGGCTTTAGGGTCATGTTTCCAGGTTTTTCTCTGACGAAGCTTTCACATCCATCATGAGCAGCGGAGGACAGAAGCATCTGAATTATGTCTTTTTTTTTCTGGGATTAAAGTGAAACAATAAAGTCACAATGATGGGATTTCCATGACCGAGCAGACATGAAGAACCGCTCCTGATGCTGATCTGTTTTGCAAAAGTAACATCAGAGATTTTTCAAAGCCTGTTTCTGTTGGACTGATTCAGAACCAGACCCAGAATTTAATCTGTCTTCTGTCTGACTTTATTTTATGTCTCGGACAGAAACTTTATCTGACTGTTTCAGTATCAGTCAAATCGGTGTCCTCATGTCATCAGATGGATGTTTAAAAGACCTGAACAGCTGTTGGGAAGATTTCTGAGGCTACATGGATGTGGAGATTATTAAAAAAATAAAACATGGATCCTCTTCTGTCTTTTGAGTTCTGATCCTTGAAACATGAGTTTTAAAAAGGTGTCTGAATTTGTGTGAACAGGAACGTTTTCAGAAACTCTGCGGTCATCAGCGTCGCTTTGTTTACAAGTGTTTCACATGTGCCAAGATGGCGAGATGCTAACTAATGCACTTGAAATTACTTAAATGTGCAAAAGAGTCATTTTTATCGATTATTGCAGGCGAATTATTTTTGGTTGCAAAGTAAACTCGCCCAATAAAAATCGGCAATCATAACCGCGACACATAATATCTGTTTTACTACTCGAGGTCAAGGGTTAGGGACCAATTACAAGCATTTTTTCCCCTGGAGTAAATCAATAAAAAAATCAGTAAAAAATAAAGTTAATTTCCCGTTTTTTTAGCTGTAAGACTTTTATCGCCAAACATCACGGCCGAAATAGATGTTGCGATTCGCTGTTTGTCATCACTAATCTCGCTCTATTGCCCCCTGCTGGTCCGGAATGCTTTTGAAGTTATTTTAAATATTTCTGCGTTGTCGTGAGGACACAGAGATATTCGTAAATATCTGTAAGATACATATTTACAGGATATTTTCTGGAAACTAGCAACAGCAGGAGCTAACTGCTAAACAACTTTCCAACCCGTAAATGACGCACACAGTCTGACGTGAGCTACGATATCGATATCTAACTTTGGACGACAAATGTTCAACAATAAGTTCAAACAAAACCACAAAACAAAACACACTCCTGTACAAGACAAGATCAGCAAAGAGTTCGGAGGAATAACTCCGCACATAGGGGGCGCCAAGATCAACACAAGCAGAAAGTTCCTCATAGGAGCTTTAAATCTGAAAAAGTCACTTTATTTTACACCAAACAAACTTTGTCAATAAATGTATTTTTTACAGTTAGCGTGCAGGGGTTTGCTCGCCATTTTAAGAATTTTAGAAACAGAATTTTTTAAGCTTAAAGAATAAATGAATAAACTTTACACATGAACTCTACAATACTTTAATTTCAGTGCTCATGATAGGTGGAGATAGAAAGAGTAAATAAAAGATATAAGTGTGCACACAAGATTTGTGCCACCCCGGTCTGAAAAGTCTGGACACGCCCCTGCTGTGCAAACATTTGCTGACAACTTTAAAGAGGCTCTGATAAAGCAGTTACAGTAACCGCATGAAAAATCCATGTAAGTGGACGTCCTTTTGTTTTTACGTTTAAATGATTAAAAACATTTGCTGATGGAAGAACAAACCTCCTCCGGGCTTTTCTCAGAGTACAGCAGCATTAAAGGATAATCTGTGTGTGCACAAACATTTTGGTTGGATTTCTTCGACACAATCCAGGAATTATTTCACTTTATATCGTTTACGGAGATCTTTTTGATTTTGGCGGTGAGTTTTTCCAATTTAGAGAGCGAGGAGTGTGTCGTTCCAGCTCAGAAACATCACGACAGATGAGATTCATCATCAGAAATTCATAAAGAAGAAGAAGAAAGTGGGATTACTTCTGCAGCTCAGAGTGATTTTTCTCTCCCTGCAGGATGCCAGCGTAGCAGCAGCGGGGGTGTTAACAGTGCAGCAGTTACTGGTCAAAAGCTTTTGTGTAAATCACACATCAATCATTCTTACTCAGACCTCCACAGGTACATAATGACCATTGTTGGCGACTCACGCCCTGAAGAAAACGAGTCAGAGGGAGAGAGAGGAAAAAAGGCGAGGAGGAGAAGGAGGAGGAGGGTGAACTTCATGAACTTGAGCTGCTCTGAGATGTTTTCTAAAAGCTGGAGATGAAGCAGGTACAGGGAGGAAGGAGAGCTGGTGTGTCAGGTAAGCTCTCGGCCGGAGCTTTGTAATTGGCTGGTGGGGAGCAGGTGCTGCAGAAGGAAAGGTTACTCCGAGCATTGAGAGGGAGAGCGCTGAGAGGAGAATGAGAGCGGGACTCGCTATTCGGCGCTCTGTGCAAAAATGAGAAAGCTGCTGCTTCCAAGGTTGTGTGCTGGTGGACAACAGAGGAGAGGATCCACGGAGGCGGACACCCACCCGGCAGGACACACACACACACACACACACACACACTTCAATCAACACACACACACACACACACAGGCATTCAAACCAGAAACACACAGAGAAAGACTCGATCACACACACCTTTATGTGCAAAATGACACACACCTCAAACACACACACAAACATCTGAAAACACACTCACTGGAAAACCTCCTCACACACACACACACACTCACACACACACACACACACACACACACACACACATTTAATAAACACCAATCAGGAGTGGACTGATATTGTTTTTTAAGAGCTGATAAAGCCAACATCACTTTCATGTTTTATTTTTTGACCCTTAAATAAACACTTTTTATTTTTTTTTACTGATCAATATGTTACACTCTTTGTTGCTTGTTGTTGTCATGGTAACAGGATATTCGTGTCTTTAATTGTGATTCCATAACTCAGAGTAAAATAAAAAAGTGTTCACTGATAAAATAAAGCCGTTAAAAAAAAACTGTTCAAACTGTAAAAAAAGGAACTTTACTGTGACAAATATTTTCTGTAACACTGAAGAAATATCATTACAGTTAATTTTATAATCAAAGTTGAAGATCAGTTTGGTAATATACTGTAAAATGCAGAAACTTGCACCAGAAAAACAACAACATTTTGCTGTAAATTTAACTGTAAAAAAATGTATTTGAGCTGCAAAGAAACGACATTTTCCTGTTAATTAAAAACAGTGAATTTAACAAAAACACCCTCTGCTTTGTGCACGTTAGAATCTCATCATCATGGTTTTGTTTGCATTAATTAATGAAACGAGAAAATACATACAGGTGTCAGAATATATGAGTATTAAACTATTATTACAAATATCAAAACAGAAAAGCTATGAAGTCACTCTTTTAGGTTTGAGATGCTCTCGTTAAGGATGTAATGATTAAAGGGGAGTTAACGTTGCTTAGCAACAGCCACACAGACTAAACGGCCTGCAGTGTCTGCAGACATGATCATGAAATTCAGGGTTGGATACTGACGCAGATTATTATTTTTATCATGAGGAGCAGAAACGATATCTGGATGATATTTGAAAATGATAATTAATCGGGTTCACTTCAGTTACACACATTTAAAACACACTTAGAAACACACTTAAACACTCACAATCACACACACTCTCAGGGGACATACTGAAAACACACTTTAACACGTACAAGCATGTAAAAACACACTGAAACACACACACACACGTAAATCACACTCTATCACACGCACACACTCTTACACACTGAACACGCCTTAAACACACCGCATGCATACACTCGGACGACACGCTTACACGTGAACCCACGTTTGAAACACACACCGGAAATATGATCGCACACACTTAAAACACACCAACACACACATGAACACACACACACACGTCAGAAACATACCTGCACATACACACACCCCTGTAAACCAACACACATTATCATACATCTTTAATCCGTTAACACACACACACTATAGTCTTACATATGTACACACACACACACACTCACACACACTCTGGATTAAATGCTTAATTGCACATGAACACACTCAGCCACACACAGAGGAACATGTGACAGATCTGTTGGTGTTGCCTTAAAAATACACACACACAGACACACACACACACACACACACACACCTAAGCTTGCATTGTGGTCGAGGAACTTATGGGCATCTGCCAGCGCGCCTCAAGTGCTCGTTCTCCGGGGGCCTCAGTCTTTCTTTTTCTGCTGCAACGCTGCAATTTGGGTGTGCCGTGGGTCCAGAGATAAGTATAGGCTGACTAATATGCACTTAGGACCCGGGGAGAAATACTTAGGCCTAAATGTTTAATTTGTGTTTGTACAACACATGTCCAATTTGGGGGCTGGTGTCTTTTTCAAAGAGCCCGACAACAAATAATTAGGACTCTCCGGATCGGCCGCAGGCTTAAAATGGTGAAGCGACGGTTTTCCCCGATGATGGAGGTGAATGACATCTTCAAAAAAAAAAAAAGGAAAAGAAAACAACAACATGTGGAAGCACTTAAAACTGCAACACCGTGGTGAGTGGAAGATCGCTGCGCAGACAGGGTAAATAGAGTGACAGTGAAACATGATAAACCATCCTCTCCTGCGTCCTTCTTCTGCAAAACAAGGTGTTGTGGACGTCTGATAAACGTCAAACTGACAGTTACAATCTCAGGATCTGAAGCAGCCCTCTCCCTCTCCCTCACCCTCCCTCCCTCCCTCATCTGTTTATCTCTCACTTCATCTCACCCTCTGTTCCTCTCTCCACCTTCAGTCTGCTCCCTCTTCTCTAAATCTGCAGTTTTTAGAGTCATGTGAGCAGTAGGTGGATTTCTATCGATTTCTGCACTTAAGGCTCCTGTTAGGAACTTTAAGTTTGTGTCTGTTTTGGCGCCCCCTGTGGACAAAGCAGCTTTTTCTTATCTTGAATATATTTTAAATGTGGAGTAACTAAAAACAGGGTTGTTTCCTCAGCGTCTAAATCGACACCTATCTCTTTGAGCGAATTTGAGCGTTAAAAACTTCAGCAGTTTCGTCGATTTTTGCTTGTGGACGTTGTTAAACTCATCAGAATGATTTTCAGTCTGTTTCATAAATATAAAAAATCTCCACACAGGAGCTTTAAGGGCTTCATTAAAGTCTCTAAATGTGTCCACATTCAAAGGCGATTATCGTACTTTTAATCCGATTTTCTTCACTTTTCTAAAACTCGATCAAAAAGACGACAAACTGTCTTCATGCAAATCTGCGTTCAGTTTGTCTAAGCGGTGTTGCCGTACCTGTAAGCGTCACTAAGGCTACGTTCACGCTGCAGGTCCTGATGCACAATTTGGATTCTTTGTTAAATCCGATCCGAAGCACAAATTTCTTTCCGCGCCTGTTTGTGTTGTCGAACAATGGTGACGTTTGTCGCATATTGATGACGTATCGGTCAGATGAAGGCGACCTGAGCGTCCACACTGCAGTCACATCGGATACATATCTGATTTATATCCACATACAGAAGAGGCCTGGGTCGGATTAGAACCAATCAGAATTGACCTGTTCACACTGACCTGAAAAAATCAGATATGAGTCACAGATGGTTAAAAAATCTGAATTGACCTGCGGTGTGAACGTAGACTCAATGGAGGTAACGGCGGCTGCAGCATCTACCTTATCTGCCCTCCACTAAATGTTTGGTCAGAATCGAGCCGAGGCTGAACTTTCTACTCGTGTTTTATCATCTCTCTGAGTTTCTCGGTTAAATTCTGTTCAAGAAAACAAAAAATCAGGAGTCAAATTCTCAGATACAAGCCGGATTACAGTAAAAATGAACAGTTTGGTACAAACGCTGTCAGTGCAGTTTGGTTTTGGACAGTATTACAGTCGTACACACTTACAGTCAAACTGGATGTTTGCTCTCTGTTAAAAATATCAGAATCAGACGTGAACACGACTGATCAGCAGGTTAAATTAATGATTACATCCAGGTGATGCTTCTGCTTTTGCAAAACTGACAGTTGTTGAAAATGATCCAACGGCAGAGAGCAGCATCTGCATTTTAGGGGTCATAGGTCACATTACGGTCATGGTTCTAGTCCATGAAATTATAATACAGAAAATTAAACACATGAATGTAATCACACCGATCTGTGTTTGTCTGTTGAGTCCAAAAGCTTCAGAGGAAATTTTCCCAGCTGCAGCGTTTTGTTCTGTTTCTGCTCTTTCAGCAGGACAGCCGTGGTCGAGATTTTTCAGATGATGAATGATTTAAATCATTTTAAATGTTCGCTCTGTGCAAACTTTATCTTTATCCGTCTTTAAGAAGGTCGAGGTACGGAGCTTAACGTTTGTTTAAACCACATTTTGTGATTTTATTCTCTGGGTGTCATTATCCTGAATTATTCTGGAGCTGCAAACATGTAAATCTGTGAGTTTAAAAGGTGAAAATAATGTTTTGTAATTAAATATAAAGAAGGAGAATGTGCATCCATGTCTTCTTTAACTCGTGTATTAATCTGACTGAGCAACTTTTATTTATTTGACCAGAAAGTTTGGCTTAAATCTGTGGATCTGACCCCGAGCGTCGCCTTGAATTGCATTTTCACTTTGCAGGGATCAACATGAGATGAAATTAAAACATGAGAATTTCTTTGACTGTGCAGTAAGAGCAGGGATTTCTAAGAAAAACAGGAGGAGAGTAAGATGAGTCTGAGTGTGTGTGAGGGAGATGTAATCTGAAAATGTAATTGTCTTTATCATATCAGAAAATCTGGAATTAAATTATCTGTCAGGCCCTAATTAGCGTTTTATTTTTAGAGGAGGAGGTTCATCTGTTTGGTTTAAAAAGATTCAAGTAGCAGGAGAATAAAAACAAAGATGTTTTATTTCTTCTGAGTCACAGGTGGAGTTGGAGTTTAACGCGCTACAGGAATGGAGCAGCGTTTTTACGCACAGCTCCTCAGGGTGATTTCATGTTGTTGACAGAGTCCAAATGGACCACACAGTGACCGGGCCTGTCCGCAACTGAACAAGAAGAAGAAGAAGAGAAAGAAGAAGAGAAAGAAGCCTCCCTCAGACAGCGCAGAGAGCGAGCCTGCAGCCCGGGACAATGTGCTGAATTGGCAGCCTATATATAAGTCTGCCATTTGGACACTGTAATGCCACTTTACCTTATGAGGGAAGTTCAACCCGCAGCACCTGCTCAAAACAAAATGCCATAGGAGATCAACTCCAGCGACCCCCCTCCAGCTCGGATTGTTTTTCAGACAGACACTCTCACTTACAAGAGGAGAAGGAGGAGGAGGAGGAGGAGGAGAAGCAGAGGGGTATAGAAATTGTTCCGCAGGACTCTAAACAATTAAGCAACTTGCCTGAAATTGTGATTTACTGCGCAGGCCCGTGTTGGCAAGTCCAAACTGGCAACCCTGGATCTGTCAAAGCGGGTAATTAAAGGTCTGAACAGAGGAGTGATTTGATGTGCAAACAAAAACGTGGACGAGGAAAACAATTAAAGTTCCTGCTGCTGCTGTTTGGCTCTCCGATCATCCAGATATTCATGTTTGAATTGTTTCACACAAATCTGAGAGGTTTGTCCGGACTCCGCGTTTCCTCTTTAGCGGTTTCCACTCTCATTTTTTTTGATCCAGCACGTCCGAGAGTTTCTCTAAATGCTCCTTATCTGCAGGCGAGCAGAGGCTTATCAGACCGTCAGTGTGTCACTAAATGGAGGGAACACCCTGAAAAAGACTCTATCAGCGCGCTCCAGGCCCTGGTCGTGTGCCTTGTCCTCTTGTACCCCCTGAAACATCCTCAGCGTGAACCCGGGGCAGATTCCCTCTCACACACACACACACACACACTCAGGAGACAAGGCCAGCTGATCGGCCGGGCTGCACACTCTCCGCCCCGGGTAACTAACTGTCCCTGCGCGCATGGCTCAAAAACACACCCACAGCTTTACTTCACCTCTTCCTAAAGCTCACCAGAAATTTGCGCGTCTTATTTGGAGGAAAGTGGGGACGCAGAGAGAACATGTGGCGCTGAAATCAAACTCAAAACAAACTCACAGATGATGTCCTGTCTCCCCCCGGTATATTGTCCTCCAGTGGATCCACGTTTTCGGGCTCCGGGTCTATTTCAATTTATGATCCACGCATTCTTGGAGGGCCAGCCGCCGTGACCTCCGGAGGAGAGAGTGAACCCTGAGCATAAAGACGCTCTTTTTCTCTCACTTTCACTCCTCTCACTTAGATCCCACCGCAGAAAATTGTGCGCCTGTGGAGGTGCAGCGCAAGGGGGACGCCGGGGACGCGCGCCAGGACCGTGGGCTTGTCCGAGAAAGCGTGAGGCGTTCACGATTCTGGACAGGAGGCTACCGCTTTGTGGCTGAAGAGGAAACTACTGGAATCTCACCCCACAGGGTCCAGTCCACAGGTCAGACTGGGATGAGAAAATAGTTCCTTCAAATCAAACTCCAGTGGGAACTTTTCTCTTCTTTAGAGTCTTTCTTTAATGTCTCCTGATGAGAGCTGAGAGCCTATAGGACTATTTTCTGCTGCCCCTGAAGCGCTGAACCTTTTCTCTTAATGATGCATGAGCGGCTTTATGGAGGAGGATGGACACAAACTTCAGCAAGAGGCTCTGCTTAGTTTGCACAATAAAGCTGCATCTTTTACGGCTCGAATGAAGCTCCTGTATTTTTTATTTGGTGCGTAAACTGTTTGATAAAAACTGTGGGAATAAATGCAATAATATCAACTTGTGTCGAGGTAGAAAAAAGTCTGTCAAACCTTTAATATTTGGGACAATTATTTCTTGCTGTCATCGAACATTTTTATTTGGATTAAAAGTCAAAGTGATGGAGAAATACCTGCACAAACTAAACCGATAAATCTGCTTTGTTTTTATTTCAAAGAGAGTATTTTAGACTTTGTTTAGCTGGATAAATATTCCCAATAATTCGCACTGACTGTCAAACATCTGACAAATTCGAGAAAACAGACTCAAACAATTAGGCACCGTTTATTTTCACCGTTTTCTCCCTCGGTTTAAAGTTGGTTTTAACGTTTAAAAAAATGGCTCCCCAGAAAAAAACACCTCTGTACTTTTTTTACCACCTAACTTCTGAATTAACTTCAAGTTCTGGTGTGCGTGAGCGTTTGCGGGTCACGTCGGGTCGGCGGAGATAATCACGGTCCACCTGCAGCTCTACAGACACTGCTGCAGCCCGAGTCAGCCGCTGTCAGCGCTGCTGCTTGTCACGCACAGATAACCCGGAGTGCGCACCGACACCCAAAAACAAGCAGCCGAGCCCCCGCATGAGCACGCACCGGGACGTCTCTTACCTTGATTCACTTCTTCGTCATCCGCTGCCTGATCCCGGAGTCAAACTTGTTGCGGGACGCTGACGGTGCGGAGTCGGAGCGAGGAGTCGGTTCACTCAGCCTTCAAATCCCGTGCGTAAAGTAACCATCGCTGGAGCGTGTGTGGCGGATACTTTGGTAACTCCTGTGATCCGCAGAGTCCTCCCAAAGTGGAGCCAAAGTGAGCGGCGTGGTTGTCAGGGGTGATAGAGAGCACGAGGAGCTGTCAGTCAGCCGATCTTTGTTTTGAAAAAAGTATTTAAAGTTATTTCCCGTCCGGCACCGAGTGGAGGTTCAGGGAGAGTGCGGGACAGAGCCGGGTGAAGAGGCAGAGGCAGGATAACCCCTCCTCTCTCTCCCCTCTCTCTCTCTCTCTAACTCTCTCTCTCTCTCTCTCTCTCTCTCTCTCTCTCTCTCTCTCCCTCTCTTTCTCATTCTTGCTCTCTCGCTCCCTCTCTCTCTCTCTCTCTCTCTGTCTAACTTTCTTCAGGTTGATTGTTTCCTAAAGTTTAAAAAAAAAACCCTACAAATGTCTTTTATTCTCACTCTGTCTCTCACCTTTCCTCTTCTTTTGGTATCTCGTTTTTAACTTTGATTGTGTGTGTGTATTCGTGCTTATAATGGTTATAATGTTTATTAAATAATAACTTTTATTCAGCTGTTTGACTTCAACCCAAACTTAGAAAACACCACAGCCTGTTCATGTGTTTTTACTGCTGGAAAAACTGTGATTGCAGATATTTTAAGGTCATTATATTCAGAAAATTTTTGTATTTTATTTTTTTTCCATATTTGAAACAGAATCATCTCACCAGCAGAGTTTTTAAAATAGAAAACACGTTTACGCATTATTATTTTAAAGATTTAGCGACCAAGAGAGTTTTAAAGGAGTCTAATTTTGGAAATTTCTTCTTTAATTTTTCCTCATGAAACAAAATAATCTAAAACGTGCTGTAACTTGATTCTTCTTTATTCTGTTTAAAAGCAGTGATCTCCTAAAGGTGAAGCTGAATTAATCCTGTTTTACGCACAACTTTTACGCACATCCAAATCTCAATCCCTCAAATCCTTGTTAAAAATCCAGATTATTGTTCGCTGTTCATTTTGGAGTTTCAGTGTCCTGTCAGATGTCAGAGCGCTTCCAGGCTCTCTCTCTCCATTACGCTTACTCTAACGCCACCTTTTGGCAGCTTCACTGTATGACACCCGAGTGTTTATTTTACACTAGAGGAGTCCACGGCCTCTTAAAGGGATGGATGTGTTTTTTTAGAGGGAATAGAGAATCAAAAATTTCCAGATTTAAGCTTCGATCAATTTATGCTCTTACATGAGGTTGTTGTTGGTTCCTGCTCCAGTGAAATTCAGTTTCTCCAATTTATCAAAATCCTCATAACTTTATATGTAAATCATCTTCAAAACCAAAAAAAATTAGTTTTTTTACAGACAAAGCAGAGAAGAAGAATTGTAACATCAGTGAAGGGGCAAAAAGTACCAGAAAAGAGGCAGAAAACGACCACGGGGAGTTCAGGAAAGGGAGAAAACGACATTATTAGAATAAAAACAGATAAAAAGATGTGATGCTGTGAAATAAAACTAAATAAACCATTAAATGAATATTTAAATAAATAAAAATGATCAAGGAGAGTAGAGGAGGGGATCAGAAGACTTGAGCAAAATCATTTATGAATGAAACAAAGATTTTAGATAAAATAAATGAAAAGTAAAATCATATAAAAGCAGATCTGTTAAATGAGTTTTAAAGGTGGGGTCGGCAGGATTCTGTTAAAGAAGCTTCTTTATTTGTGGTGTATTTACAAAAAATCTTCTAATATCAGTCAATAGTTATTAGTTATTGATTACATTTGGTAATATATCGATATCTCTGTGTTCTCTTATGTCTGTGTCGTCAACATTTGAACATTTTTGAGCGGTCCGCTCTTTCTGACTGTAAACAAAGCCGTTCTCCACCTCCTCTAACCTGATTGGTTGTGAGGCAGACGCTGCTCCCCCTTGTCGTTCAGGAGCCCAAACAAAGTTAGCGTGCTACAATATCGGACAGTAGAAACCAACCAGAAAGTTCGGAAAATTGTCTGAATCCTCCTTTGGCCACGACTGCCGACACAAGCAAGAAAACAAAGTAAATACCGGAGACTCTGGAGGAATAACGGGCGCTTAAAACGGAGGTAGAGCGGACAAGAGCTAAAAAGTCGGGTCAACATAAACGATGGGGGACGCTTGGGGATCTTGGTGACCCTGTAACCTTTCTGCTGGACAGGTAAACCGCTTTAACAAAGTAAGACAAGTGTCTGTAACAGAAGTGTTTCTTGTCAAACGGACCTGCTGTAGCGTGTTTTAGCGCCATGGCTAAACTGTCCTCCCTCGGGTCCTGGACTATGTCACTTTATCCTAGTTGTAGAAGTCCTGCAAACATTGTGAGTTCTCTGTGAAGACGTCTCGAGAAAACAGTCTGATAAAGAAGAAAATCCTCCAGTGAGAAGGTCGTAAATACGATGGAAGGAAATTCAGGAAAAAGAGCATCTTGAAGATAGATTAAAATGGGAATTTAGAGTGAAATTACCAAGACACTGCCTTGGTTTGTTTTAGATATAATCCCAGCAAATATTGACAGAACATTCAACACTTTTTTTCAGTAGAGTTTGTGTGTCTTTGCCCTCTTTACTGTCTTTTAGTTTTGGGAACTCAAGTTGAAGAGAATGCTAATTGTGCAAAACAGTGAAATACAACGATAAAGTAAAACTCCAGAGCTTGAAGAATGTGTTCAAACATTTACCTTCATTTTTATTTTGGGAAATTCATTTTTTCCCTTTTTTAACCAACTCAACTTGAGGAGAATCGTAACCACAATGAAGCAGAATCTAGTTATTCTATGATAGAGAACTTATCTGTATGACGGGGTGAACAGACATGCTGAAGTCCTCTTGTTCCAGCAGGTTTCAGCTCCTCTGCACACTCTCTGTGTGTCCTCTTCTGCTCTGTCCTATATCCTCAGCTCCTTGGTTGCTTGTTCATCAGCGACAGCCTTCTCTAGATTGATAAAAAAAGTGGGAAATAAACACAAGTTAACAGGGCAACATATCATAATTCTGTTTCTTTACCAGATATGTAGATAGAAATGTATTAAAGGGATATTCCGGCGTAAAATTACACCGAGTTAGACCCCCCCTCCAGAGATGAATGTTGCCGACCGCTTGCTTCTCTAGTTATACCAACTTTAGTAACAACCGCACAATAGCAATACACAGCGGTCTGAGGAGCCATAAACAAACCTCAACCAAAACGCCACTCTATAGACACAAATAATGCTCAGAACAGCACCTAACTTCATCAACAGTACATATAGGGTCACAGCCATAGTACTAGCCAGTAGCCACCAAACATCTTTTTAACTTTGACTCATTTCTTTAGCAAAGAGACTAAACACAACTCACCTACTCTCCTCCAGCAGCTGCTTGTTTGTAGCGAGACTTCAGGCCAGTCCATTACAGACTACAGCGGGGTGACACAGCTCAAGGAAGAACATTTATGGTCATTTCTTCATGGAAATGTAATCAGACCGAGACACTAAGGCAGAAGAACTACCGCGTCTGTAGAGTAAAATGATTAATATGATGATTATTACTTCAAGGAAACGATAAAGAAACGATGAGGGGAGAAGGATGAGTGAAAAACAGTCGACAGAAGATTAACAGAGCTCACTAAAACCGATTGTCTCTGACCACACCGGTGTTTTTAAATAGCCCGCCAAAAATCCCCAAACCACACCCCGGAAGTGACATACCTATTAGCAAAATCAAACCCTCAACAAATATATTTTGCCTCTTACACGACAGTTATTTTAAGTTGAATCAGTTTTAAGTTGCTGTGCTTACCAACAAATCTTAAACTTCTCTTCTTTCCTTAATCACCGTCTTCTTTACATCCTCCATCTTGGAAAAATCAGTCTTTATCCGTGTCCGTTATTTTAACAAGCATTTTTCTATGTATTGTTTTGAATGACCGTAAATAAAACAACTGATTAAAATCTGTCGACTTTTAGTGTCACAGTTTTTTCTCTAATATTATCTTTAATATAATTTTAAACTGATAACTGGTCGAGGATGGCGATCGCGGGCGTCTCCTTGTGCAGCGCAACTATAAGGGGAAACGTAGAAGAAGAAGAGAAACGGAACCGGAAGCAGTAACTCGAACATTGTTGACAAAATCTACTCGCGTTTTCCAGGTGGAATGTAGTTTAATTTACGATTTAACGAAGATCCCGGTCAAAATGAGTCATTCTGAAGACAAACACGGAACGAAACGACCCGCTTCTCCAAGTGAAGTGAGTAAAACCCGAGAAACTGTGAGGAATGTGTCAATAAAAGGCATGATTTAATCAGACGGGGTTCGCTGTGATAATCTGCTCCATGCGCTTCATGAGAAATCTGAAACAAGAGGATTTATTTAAAACAGGTCAAAGAAATCCTCTACCTTAAAACTTAGCTTCTAGGGTCGAATCTAGACTTTATTTCATTAAACCTGCAGGTTTTCAACACAAACACAAAAATCAAAACAAAGGGACGTTTTGTATCAAACGGGATTAAGAATCAGTGTTGGGATTATATCACGTTTTTCCCCTAATTTCATACATTTAACATCAAAGATATGCTCTAAAGGGTAAAATAAGAACATTATCCACGAGTATCATACTAGTTAATAATAATAATAATGTATTTTATTTGTAATGCGCGTTACATCTGAGAAAACAGACCTCAAATTTCACATAATAAAAGGCAAGAGTAAAAACAACAAATAAAATAGTAAAAGGCAATATTTTAATGACTATTACACATAATTGTGTTTGAACTCACTTTATCTCTCATCATTGCACCATTATCACTGCTGTGTTACATTTATTTGCACTATTGTGTCCACATCAGGACTACCATACTGTTTACATTCACTCTCTTTCACTCACCTCCTCCTTATATTTATACTGTTATACTATTTATATTATCTTTATTTTGTAAATTGATGTGAGTATTTAAGGTAGTCTTTTGTTTAGCTTAGTCATCTCCTATATTTATACTTTTATAGTTTTATTCTTATATTTTATTCTTATGCACCGTGGGTCTGAGAGGACTGAAATGTCATCTCTGCTGTATGTATAACATGTGTAGCATATTTAACCATAAAGTTGACCTAACTGTAAAGACATAGTTGTGGCATAAAGACTTTTGGTGTCAACATTTGTTTGTATTTTAACCATTGAGCACATGTCTTGTGTGTAATTTTCATGTTTGTCTATATATTATGTGTTTTTTTAATATTCAAACCCTGAGTCTGTCAAGAAAGATAACATTAATAATAATAATAACTTTGATTTTTCCTTTCAGGATGGGTCCACTCAGTGGGCAGCGGCTGATCTCGGCAGTAATGAAAGGAAGCAGAAGTTTTTACGCTTGATGGGCGCCAGCAAGGTTTGTTGTCTGTTGTGTAGATCCAACCTACCGATGTTACTTATCTCATAGTACTTCCAGCTCACTTGGATGTGGCCTAATGTGATCAAATTTCAAATCGTTACAGTCAGCAGCATTGTCAAGGATACAGTCATATTGAGAAAACACTGAACAAACATGTTTTCTATGACCTAAAATGATAGAATCAATGTAAACAGTCAGGAATTGTAATTATTGTAACTATCAAAACAAAATTAGTCACTGAAAGGAGAATACAGGGATCTCTCTCTGACTCGCTGAATCCAAAAAGGGAGCATGAAGATTTTACTGCAGATCAGAGATATTTATTTTCACTTGCAATAAATCAAACTTTGAATGATGCATTTGATGTAGATGTTGATTATCTGAAACAAAAGAAAGCTTTAGCGGTCAACAGAAAATATGAGCACCCTGCCTCCTCTCCTTCTGAGCCAGGCAAACAATTCACAGGCAGGCACCAGGCACAGGTGACATCCATTTGACAATCAGTGAGCCCCAGTGACACACACACACACACACACACACACACACACACACACACACACACACACACACACACACACACACACACACACACACACACACACACACACACCCATTACCCTTTGTGACAAGCAAAAACACATCCCTACCTCTATAGTAATCTTTTAACTCTCTGAGACAGAATAGAGCTATCATCATCCTTCGAGTCTTTTAGAGTTGATTCTATGAACAGGTTTCATTCCAGTAAGTCTTCACTGTTTGTTGCTTTCAGTCTTAATTTTTAAAGAAGTTGTGACAGTGGAGTAAAATCCGACTGTGTCTGTTTTCCAGAGAGAACACACCGGACGCCTCATCATTGGTGAACATAAATCGACATCCCACTTCCGCAGTGGTGAGCTTCTTAATCTGGATTTTTAAGAGTCTGTATCTTTCTATGTTCTGTATGAAAATCTTTACCATCCCTTTGCCTGTACCCATGCTGCCTCTTCCCTTTATGCCCAATGCAATTAACTCGGCTTCCCCGTTACACATCCGCCGCACAGCCCTATCTATGCATGGATAGGCCTGTATTGGCTGGGTGTGCCTGTTGTTACTGGTGTCTCCTCTGCAGGGCAGGAAGATAAGAAGATGAACGAGCAGCTAGAGATGCAGTACCAGCAGGGCATGGATGGGAAGCTGTCGGGCCGGAACCGGAGACACTGTGGCCTGGGTTTCAGTGAGGTGAGGGGGTTTGTTCCTGTGGGAAAACTTGAGAGAAGGAGGTTGAAGAAGGATTTTATAAACATAACATGATATAATCATCCAGAGGAACACGATGAACGCTAAATAAACATGTTTTTTTGATCTGAAGGAGGATGTCTAATGTGAAATCTTGCAGGATTGCAGTTAATCACAGAATTTCAAAAGGTTACAGGTTTGTGCACCGTGTCAGCCGTGACCAGGAAAAGTGATGTGTGGAAGTATTTAAAAAAAAAAAGAACAACAACAATAATAATAATGTGCATTCAAGATCTGCGGAGAGTTAAACTTGAAAATCATAGAAATATTAGTTTGATTCTTAACCTTAAAGCTCTGGTGTTTTTCACTGTTGATAAAGTGTCTTTCACCACAAACTCATGAACAGGTCTCACCACCGAGTCCAACATTTAGTCATTTCATTCTCAACAGGGAATTTCCGACTGCTGTCCTTCAGACACGTCATACCGCAGAAAACTTAGCCGGCGGGTAAAAACGTAAATATGCGAGTACTCTATTACTCCTTCATAAAGTAACGCCCTTCCCTGAAACTATTATCCCCTTACAGCCATGAGGCATAACAGATCACGTCATACAAACCAGTTACCACCCATCAATTAAACGCTGTAGTTAACTTAAGGTTGGAAATGAACGTGAGCATCTGCACATGTCAGAGTGACAGCTTTGGAAACTGGATGTCATGTTCGTCATTAACGTAGCAGGAAGTTTTGATGAACTCATGAACTGCTCATCAACTTTTTCTCATATATAATCATCATATGTTGTTACCTTCAGTTGTAGTGCACATTTACAGACTTTGACACAAGTGAGAAATGTATTTTATTAGCGTTAGTGTGGTTTTTAAACCTTTGTAAGTAGTCATCTACGTTAGATTCAGACTTTATCAACATTAAACCACTATTTTAACCCGACTTCATTGACAGCACTGAAAGTGGGACCATCCCAGGACATGAATGCAGAGATACCTCCTGACGTCAGTCCATTTAGCTGCACCTGTACGCCTAACTTAACTGATACTTAAGTCACATTTAACACAAATTGCTCTTTGCTTTTGACTCATCAGCTGAGCCGTGGAGGATTTAAGACATAATGAAATATGCCATTCATAGGTGCCTTTGTGTTATTTTCTATGACAGCAGCAGGAAGCAAGCTCAACTACACTGTACCAAAAAGGGACAACAGAATATGTGATAAACCAAACAGCATTTTAATTAAAGGATTAATATCGACAGCACTAATTTATGATAAACACAGGAAAGTTAAGCACCAAGAGGAAACGCTGCCCGTCAGTTTCTCCCTCATGAAGGTGAAATTCACCGAGCTGTGTTCACACTCTACAAATTTCTTCGTTAAAAAGGTTGCACTTAAAACGAACTTCCTCTGTCTAACACCATCCTTCTGTTCTCTTCGCCACAGCCTGAGCCAGAGCCTGTCTCGTTTCCCTCCCCACCAGTGGAAAGTCAAGAAAAAACAACTGAAACAGAGAAGTCCTCTGATAGCAAAGAATCCACAGATGATGAGGACAAAAGCAGCGATACCGACCCGAAAGAACAAACCTCAGAGCCGGCGAAGCCAAGCTCAGACGACAGGAGCGAAGGACGGAAACACAACTACAAGATGGCTTTTGTCAAGTCAACATAGGTTTTAAAAGAGGAATGAGTTTTGTCATCTCAGATATGTGCATTTTGACTTTGTTTGTTGAACTTTAGGTGACTCCCCCTCCTCATGATGTCTGTCACTTTGATTATGTCGGGGGTCTTTCCTCAAACTCTCCTCCTTCAGTAACATCCAGGTGTTCATGTCGTGAAGCGATCGTGTCGGCGGGGTTTGATGTTTGATTTCATTTGTAGTTGTCGATCATGTTCTGACTGCAAACAGTTTCTTTAGTCCGAACATTTTAACTGTCCACTCGTATTAAATGAGACAGGATCATTTGTCATCCAGCATGGTCGGTGTACAGAGTGTACAATCTGTGACTTTTTTGTTTTGTTGGAAAGTAAATAAAAGGAAGTGTCAGTTGTAGTTTTTGGTGTCGTAAAAACCTCAAACTTTAGTTCCCCAAAAACAAAAACTGTTTTCTAGACATTTTTAGATGAACTAAAAACAGTTTTGTTTCGTGGGGGAAAAACATCTATAACCCAAGAAGGAAACATCAGAATCAGAAATACTTAAATAATCCCCAGGGGGAAATTGCTTTTGCCACAGTAACTCTAGTGCAAATACAGTAAAAAGAGGAGATACTTAATAGATAAAATAAAGAGATACAGGTATTTACACTTTATACAACACAAACAGTAACATCATATGCATGTAAAACAGTAAGCAGAGTCCAGGTAAAGACCACTGACTGAGTCTCTGAGGGAGGATTTAAATATTAAAATGAAATATTGATTAATCTGAGAATAAATGAATTCAACCGTGACTTAAAGCTCCTGAGAAGACTTTTATGATGTGTATGAAATAGACTTCAATTTATATTAATGCCTTTTTATAGTAAACAAAAGATAAACAAGAACATTAGCAACAAGATTGACTGTTTTTATGTTGTAAATTTAGTAACTGAAACTGGTGTGAGGGGGAAAGTTAGGCACCCTCGTTGTCAACGTTGGGTGTTAAATGAGGGACCGTCAATAATTTACCTGTTGATGTTCTGAAAAAAAAGGTGGTTTCCTTCAATAGCTTCCACATCATGTGACCAATTGACCGTAAATTGATTTCATATACTATTACTAAGGTCGGACAATGAGACACATTTCTTCATTTCCCTAATTTGTCCTCTAAAAGGTTTTTGTGTTCAATTTAAATGCAAATTTTGAACATTTTCTTTAATAGCTTCCATGTCATGTGACCAAAAGACCTAAAATTGATTTCAAATTATAGTACTTAAGTCGACCAATAAGACACACATTATATGATCAATTTTTATTGTGCCCCTGAAGTTCTTTGTGTGCTCCTTACTTTTTCAGTTTAGGACTACATGTGCTCCTTGTGATAAAAAGTTAGTGTCACGCCCTGTGTAAAGGTTTTTGGGGGTGGTAAGGGGGGCAGTTGGACCCTGGAGATTCCTATTCGGTTCCGGCCCTGGTCTGTAAACTGACTCAGCCTATTAAACCATACAGTATATCAGCTTATTTTGATGCAGTAGCTCAAAGAAGAAAGCATATTTGGATCTAATGGGTTTTCTTCCTGTAGTCTTTTAGAGTCTAAGTGTTGAGTGTCGTGTTAATAAACAGAAATACATAAATTAGACTTAATTTAATCTCACTTTGACACGTTAACTTTACAATACCTGGTCACGTGACCTGTCTGCTGCTCCTAAGGATAAAAAAACGAAAACAAGATTTTACAGGAAGTCCCGTTATGACCGCCTGACTGAGGTAAGACACAGACACACTGAGTTTAAGGAGTTTTAGCCTGACAAAAGAGGAAAACCGGGTTTATTAGTTTTACTATAAGGCGTTTTAAGTTACGTTAGTTTTGAGGGTTAGCCCTGAAATGGAAACCAAAACGATAACGAATAACTTTGAGTCTGCTGTGGGTAAATATGTCGATGTTGACAGTAAAATGAGAAGAAAACTGGATCAGTTTAACTTCATTTCTCAGATGAAGAACTTCATGTACTCGCTGACCCTGACAAGTGTCTGTCAGAGGGACGTCCTGACTGTTTTTAGCCACGACACATGACTGTAACCACGAAAAGCAGCTGTTAGCCTTTTCTTTTATAATACATGTTTAATAAACGACGAACTAACGTCTATTTTTCAGATGTGGAGGATGGACGTGTGAGTGTAAACATGAGGAGGGAAACTGTTCTGAAGTTTAGGGGAAAACCAGCTGAGTAAAAAGTCGAGAGGCAGGGGTGAGTCTAGCGTTTTTGTTACCATGGGGCTCTTAATGGGCACCTTACCCACCACACCACTGTCATTAAAGGGATATTCCGGCGTAAAATTAATTTAGGGTTAAACACACCATAACACCGAGTTAGACCCCCCCTCCAGAGATGAATGTTGCCGACCGCTCTCTTCTCTAGTTATACCAACTTTAGTAACAATGGCAGGATAGCAATACAGAGAGCCACGCACTCAACCAAACGCCGCAAATAATGCTCAGAACAGCACCTAACTTCATCAACAGGACATATAGGGTCACAGCCATAGTACTAGACAACAAACATCTTTTTAGCTTTGACTCATTTCTTTAGCAAAGAGACTAAACACAACTCACCTACTCTCTTCCAGCAGCCGCTTGTTTGTACAGAGACCTCAGGCCAGTCCATAATGGACTACAGCGGGGTGACGCAGCTCAAGGAAGAACATTTATTAATTTGATGATTATTACTTTAAGGTAATGATAAAGAAATAATCATAAATGTTCTTCCTCGAGCTGCGTCACCCCGCTGTAGTCCATTATGGACTGGCCTGAGGTCTCGCTACAAACAATCAGCTGCTGGAAGAGAGTAGGTGAGTTGTGTTCAGTCTCTTTCAGGCAAAGTTAAAAAGATGTTTGGTGTCTAGTACTATGTCTGTGACCCTATATGTCCTGTTGATGAAGTTAGGTGCTGTTCTGAGCATTATTTGTGGCTATAGAGCGGCGTTTTGGTTGAGGTTTGTTGATGGCTCCTCAGACCGCTGTATTACTATGGTGCAGTCATTATCCTAAAAGTTTAAATCAGATATTAATCCAGAAGTTTAATTTGATAGTTAAGCTTTGTGGATGAATGTGGTCAGTTGTCAGGTATTGCAACGTAAAACCTTCTTTTCATCAGGATCTAGAGTTAGTGTACTTAATTATTTTCAACTTCTATGTCTTAAATACGTTTAGCCTTTAAAATGGATGCTGCAGAAGAGACTGCGAAGCCTCCTGATAGGCCAGAGTTTCCTGCCTCATCCTGCCTGTCCATGAAAAGTGACGCCTCCATGAATATCATTCATGAGTTCACCAAAGATGCTGCTAAAAGGTATAAAAAGTCTATCGTGGTCTTTGCTTGTGCTTGCTTGTGGTTTATGGGGGGGTTAAGTTCATGTCTGAATGTATACCCACAATAATTAATTTGACTTATATCATCTTATGAGATTTAAAGAAACCAGCGTTAACCCTTTCTTTCCTATTTATCAGCTTAATCAACGCAGAGAAGTCAAGTTTGCCTTATTCATCTAACATGTCCATGAAAAGCGATGCTTCCTTAAATATCATTTATGACTTCAACAAAGAGGCCACTGCAAGGTACATGACGTCTGTTTTTCTGTTATTAACCATTAACTTTACTGTAACAGGAGTACTTGACTACCATACGTAAAAACCTCTGTGAGGAGTTATGAAACAGACTAGAATAAAGAATTGTGACCAAATGGACCAGTCTATCTATCTATCTATCTATCTATCTATCTATCTATCTAATTTCATTATTTTTTTTGCAGTTCAATTATTCTGGAGCGATCAAACGTCCCTGACTCATCGTGTCTGTCCCTGAAAAGTGACGCCTCCATAAATATTCATCATGACTTCAGCAGAGATGTCGCCAACAGGTACTCAGTGTAAAGTCTCGCTCGTTAGGAACTGAAACACTAAGGGGATTTTTTTCAGTTATTTGAAACTGCCATAGAAATAACTCGTTTTGACTGATCAGACAAGAACTTTCTCACTTTTATTTTCATTTCATGGTGCAGCCTGTTCATTCATTTCTATTATTTCTATCAAGGAGCCAAAGTGAAGGTTCAGAATTAAAGGAAATGGATGGAACTACCATATTTAAGGTGATCACGTGTCTAATGTCTGAACAGAGATGAAAAGATTTGTAGTGAATATAAGTCAGTGAAAGTTATTATTCTACCTTTTCAATCACAGTTGGTGGAGGAACAGGCCAGGAACATGTTGCTGTCTGAGCTAAAAAGGTTTGAAAGGATGCTTTTTCCACACCTTTCACAACCTGCTGAGAGCGACAAGCAGAATCGAGACTGTCTGAGTGCTGAAGATACAAAAGGAGACGCCAGTGTTAGTGAGGGAGCTCTGAAGATCGCACTACACATCCTGAAGAAAATAGGCCAGAGAGAGCTCGCCAATAAACTTGAGAAAAGTAAGGACTGAGCGAAAACATGTCCAAGATGGTGTCTAGAAAATGTTGATTATAACTAAAAACTTCTCTCTTCACTAGGTGTTTATGGTGAGCTTGACGTGTGCCAGCGCAAACTCAGACGCAAACTTAAAAAGTTCGAATACATCTACGAAGGAGTGGCACAACACGGAAATCAGACACTTCTGAACAAGGTTTACACTGAGCTCTACATCACAGAGGGAGTCTGTGAAGGTGTTAATAACGAACACGAGGTCAGGCAAGTTGAGGCCGCCAACAGGAGGCGGGCAATGGAAGACAAACCCATCAAATGTGAAGACATCTTTAAGCCGCTGCTTGGACAGGACAGATTCATCAGAACCGTGATGACGAAAGGAATCGCTGGGATTGGGAAAACGATCTCTGTGCAGAAGTTTAATCTGGAGTGGGCCGAGGGGAGAGTGAACCAGGACATCCAGCTCCTCGTGAATCTGCCGTTCCGGGAGCTCAATCTGATGAAGGAGAAACACCACACGCTGACGCAGCTTCTTCATCATTTTCTTGCTGAAGCAAAAGAAACAGGAATTTCCAATTTTGGGAAGTACAAGATCGCACTGATATTTGATGGTTTGGATGAGTGCCGACTTCCTCTGGACTTTGACCGTAATGAGCTCTGCTTCAGTGACTCAGAACCGGCTTCAGTGGATGTTCTCCTGACCAACCTCATCAATGGGAACCTGCTGCCCTCTGCACAGATCTGGATCACCTCCAGGCCTGCAGCTGCAAATCGCATCCCGGTTGATCTGGTTGATCGCGTGACAGAAATCCGAGGGTTCAACAACCCCCAGAAGGAAGAGTACTTCAGGAAGAAAATCCCCGATCAAAGCATGGCCAGCAAGGTCATCCTACACGTGAAGTCAATCAGGAGCCTCCACATCATGTGCCACATACCGGTCTTCAGCTGGATCTCTGCGACTGTTCTGCAGAATATTCTAGAAGAGAGTGATGGCCAGAAATTAGAGAACGACAGCAAGAGAGACATGCCTGAAACCCTGACACAAATGTACTCTCACTTCCTGGTTTACAACTCAGTGATCCGATCCAGGAAGTATTCAGCGGGACAAGACGCCTCAGAGACACAGTCCCCAGAAAAAATGAACGGAGAGATGATCTTGAAGCTTGGAAAACTGGCCTTTGAGCATCTGACTAAAGGCAACATGATCTTCTATGAATCTGAATTGGACGAGTACAACATCGATATCAAAGACGCTGCGATTTACTCAGGGGTGTTCACACAGATCTCTGAGGATGATTTTGGACTCCATCTGGAGAGGGTCTACTGTTTTGTGCATCTCAGCATCCAGGAGTTTTTTGCAGCGATGTATGTCTTCCACACGTTTGTGTGCTTCAAGCAGAACTTACTGAAGCCGAAAGAAACCGCCTCAGACCAGGAGTCTTCCAGTGAAGTGACCGGTCTTCTCCAGAGTGCGGTGGATAGAGCCTTGGAGAGCAACAACGGACACCTTGATCTGTTCCTTCGCTTCCTTCTTGGCCTCTCACAGACCTCCAATCAGACTTTGTTGAAGAGCATCCTGACCACCATGGCGAGCAGCTCACCAAGAAATGAGGAAATTGTGGAGTACATCAAGCAGAAGATCCGGCAGAACCCCTCCCCAGAGAGATGCATCAACCTCTTCCACTGCCTGAGTGAGCTGAATGACCAGTCTCTGTTGGAGGAGATCCAGCACTTCCTGAGCTCCGGTAGTCTATCAGAGACCACGCTGTCACCTTCACAGTGGTCTGCCCTGGTCTTCATGTTGCTGACCTCCAAGGAGGAGCTGGATCACTTTGACCTGAGAGAATATTCACGATCTGAAGAAGGTCTTCTGTGGCTGCTGCCAGTCATCAGAGAATCCAGAGTTGCTACGTGAGTAAAGAAGAACATCTTCTCCTGTGGTCGTGGTACACACTGTAGAGACTGAGCCTCTTGCAGATGATAGTCTAATTTCTGTGTCTCTAATGAAACATTTGGCACATTGACCTGATGATACATGATGAAATGTTCTTTTCATTTTGCAGACTCAAAGAGTGCAACCTCACCAACAAATGTTGCAGAGCGCTTGGAGAAGTTCTGAGTGATTCCTGTCTGAAAGAACTGGACCTTCGTGACAACGATCTCCAAGATTCAGGAGTAGAGTTGTTGTCTGCAGGACTTGCAAGTCCAACATGTCAACTTGAAAAACTGAGGTTTGTGGCAGGTGCTTTGTTAGTATGTTGGTCTGTTATGATGAAGATGAAGTCACCTCATGAAGGAGGGTCGTAGTCTCGTGCTGTTGATAACGTTTCATGTGTAATCTCTCAAAACTAGGCTGCCGTTCTGTGGGATAACAGAGATTGGCTGCGACTCTTTGGTTAAAGCTGTGAGGGCCAACCCAACTCATCTGAAGGATCTAGATCTAAGTTACAACAACCCTGGACCAAGTGGGACGGAGCTCTTGTTGTCTTTGCAGAAGGACATGAAACATCTGACTGTCAGGTATGGCTTTAAAAATCATTCTAAAATCGTCCCTATGTTACTGAGACTCTCTCTTCTCACTGTTTCATATCCCGTGTCCAGCGAAGCTACTTGACATGGTCAATGACACACCACCCTCTGACCAGAATGCAAACTTGGGTAGCTTGTTGGTCTTTCCTCTTAATCTAAAGAACAGGAATTTGACAGACTGCACAAACACCTCCTCTTGCATTCCCAGATACACTCCTACAGTTTCATACCTCAAATAGCTGGTAGATACCACTGAAATAATCTTAGTTTGAGCCCTCTCCTCTGTGCACATCGATCAGAAGCCAAGCAAATAAAAACATTAAGGGAGTTTTGGGGCCTTGTGGTATTTTTGGATAAACAGCAAACTCTTCTGTTGAAGGACTGCAGTTTATCATCAAGCAAGAAGTGTGGATCAAGCATGGCAGGGTTTGTTGTGCCAGCAGCACTCACCTCCTTAAGAGTTGGGTGGATGCAAGTCTGACTATTACTCAAGGTGCACCTAGTTTCTGGTCCGACTGACCCCCAATGTCCACCTCATCTGGAACGGCTACGAAAAGGCTGTATCCTCCGATCGTAACCACTCAAGTTAACGTGTCATTTTCCACCGGCTTCTTTCTGGTCTGCTGCGGATCGCCAGACTCCGGATGCCGGAGCATGCCGGATACATTCAGCACAGATTAACCCGTGCTGGAAAGGAAGTCACAGATTATGTAGGAATTGGCGTACAGCGAAAAATGCTGCCATTCTGGATGCGGTGGAAATCCTGGGTGAGTCGTTTGTGCATGGGTGAAAATTCATGGTTGTACGACATTTCTTAACTTGCAAAACATCCTCCATCTGACCGCTGATCCATCCTCACTCAGGTGGAAAAATACAGATTAATCAGACCCTCTTGGTCGTCTCTCCTCTCTATCTTTGAGGTCTGGGAAGAAGTTACACACACCTTTAGGGACTGGTTGTTGTTTCAGGCTCTGCAGATGCCTGGTGTTTTTCAGAACAGAGGTGGATCAGGATGTTCAGCTGGATTGATGTGGCCTTTGGGCCTCTTAGGTCGCAGGTACTAAAGATACTGAACGTCTGTAAGGTTTGGTATGCGCTCAGAGGGGAAAGCAGTCGCAGTATCATGTCTTTGTGTTGTTGGCACACATCCGAGTCTGGGATTTTGAGTCACCACAAAAAGGTACAGGCTGCAGCTTGCATGAACAGCTGGTTTGTGGGACTGTTGTTAGATGCTTGGGTTTGGTTGGTAACATTGAAACAAGAAATGCAAGACCCCCCAAAAGATCAGCCCACCTCGTTTTGGGATAGGAGTCCAAGTGGGAAGTGGAAGTGGGCCTTACAGCTGCAGCAGTGGAGTGCAGTGCCGTCTGCTCTTCTTCATGATGATCTCTTCACTCAGAGATCCAGAGATACTATGAATTTGTCTGTTTTGTTCTTGTTCTGTAAATAATTGTACGTTTTTCTACTTTCTCAGCTTGGACAACAACGCAGAGTGCTACTTGAAATCATCACTGAGGAAATGTGAGTTTTCTCTTCAAACAAATCAGGGATTGTTTGCACACAGTCGAGGCGTTTGACCTTGAATCGCTATTTCAAGAAAACAGCCTTTTCAGTATAAATTTGTTTCCTGTGCTTTTTTCTCGTCAATAGATGCCTGCCAGCTCACAATGGACGTGAATACTGCCCACTCCCACTTGTCCTTTTCCGAAGACAAGATAACAATGATCCGGGAGACAACAGCACAGTCGTATCCTGACAATCCTGAGCGGTTCACAGACTGGGGACAAGTGCTTTGTTCAGAGGGTCTGTCCTCTCGCTGCTACTGGGAAGTGGAATGGACAGGAGAGCGCACAGGTATCGGGGTAGCTTACCAAGGAATCAGCAGGAAGGCCAAAGGTAACGAGTCGGTTCTGGGCTACAATAATCAGTCCTGGAGTCTGCGCTACTGTCACGGTAAATACACCGCCTGGCACAATAGAGACGACGCACCCATATCTGTCCCCTATTTCAACTCGAAAAGAGTGGGCGTGTTCTTGGACTGGTCAGCTGGCACTTTGTCCTTCTATGCTGTATCATATAATAACACTATGACTCACCTGCATACTTTCCATGTGAAATTCTCGGAGCCGCTGTATCCGGGCTTCAGACTGGGACTTGCAGATACCTCACTGACTCTGTGCCAGCCTGAATACCTCTAACTACTTCTGAGTACTCCAGGCTCTGGTTCTGCTCCGTTTGTTATCGAGCCCACAGCTGATTCTTGGTCCTGACAGTATTCTCAATTTTACCCCATATATCCTGATTCTTAAGCTGTCCAATCAGATACCGGCAACACTCTCAAAATAAAATACAGTTATTTATATGATATTATACAGTCGATATTTAATGTTTTTATTTATATAATAACTTAAGGCATAAAATGTCAACTTTGTTAGTATTATTGGTGTTTCAGAAGCCTTGTCATTATAAAAAAAAGGGTGTTCTATCTTTATGAAAGATAAACTAGCTGTAATTTCAATATTCCTGTTAAAGTCCTGGTTGACGATCTGAGAAGTGGTTGAAAAAAAATGAACTGCTCCGAGGAGGGCCGGTAGAGTGGGAGGGGACGGGTCGGAACTACGCGAGAGGGGTGAGTTGAATACAGCGAGGTGATTGGATGTAGAGGCGGAGCCGGAGATTGACCAATAGGAGCTGTCCGGGACAGATGGCTCCCATTGGTCAATGTTTTTGTAGCCCTGTAACTGATAGGGTGAACAGATTTTTTCCGTTCTTTTTTCTCTTCACTTTGTGGAGATCGCACTGTAGGACCATGATCGCCATAGAAACGAGGTTCATAATAATTACCAATCTCTACAATCGACAACCATGACTTTAAGGCATAAAATGTCAACTTTGTTGCACTATTGGTGTTTCAGAAGCCTTGTTGTTATAAAAAAAGTGTTTTCTATCTTTATAAAAGATAAATTAGTTGTAATTTTTAATATTGTTAAGTTTAAGTCTTCAAAAAGACGTCACACTGGGTGACTTTGATTGTATTTTATTAAAAATGGCTGACTTAAGAAGTCGTACCGAGGTTAGCAAACTACCACCTAGCTAACCGTTTCCATCCAGCTAATCAACTTTGCACTAAAAACTGGGATATCTGTAAAGCTGGATTACATCATAAACTACATTCAAGCCAAATATCTGTATTATGTATTAATGTGCAATTTGCATGATGTACCGTTAATAAATATTTAACATGCATCTTGTGTTTTATATTTTGTCCTTGTCTGTTTTTTGATGACGCACTGAAGCACTGTGTTTACACTCCGAGGTTCATTTAACATCTGCTTACAGGAGGAGGTACAGGAGGAGGTACAGAAGGAGGTACAGGAGGAGGTACAGAAGGAGATACAGGAGGTTTTTAGTACAAGTTAAGGTGAAAGAAATTCAGTGAATTTAGTGAGATGAGAGTTCAGATCGTATACATGTACGTTGTGTTTGTAAAGGTATGAATACAAATTTAAGGTACATGTACTTGAATAGTATGTTTACATTTACTGGTACTTTAGAGTTTTACTGGAATTAGACGCAGAGACAGTTATTGAATTCACTAACAATTTACTTAAACTAGTGCATAGCAATACTACAAACATTCAATAATAATGTAAAATGAATTGCTCCAGATTTAATTACTTGTTAGTTACTTGTTAACTATTGAAGAAGTCAACATCCAGCCTACCTTGATTGATTGTTATTATTATTGTTGTACGAGCTACTAAAACTTTAGTCAAACATAACAAGGAACTAAAGCTTCAGGGGTCTCTTATATAAAGGGATTTAAGTGCGAGAGTTTTTAAGACAGTAGGATAATAGTGAAACTTCTTCCCAAGAATTCCTGAATAGTTTTAGCACGAGCAGCTTGTTGGACCATAGTGAGTAAACACAGCTCATCTGCGAGTGGGAGGGAGAGAACCTGACAAACAGGTTTGAGCTCCTTTACTACAGTTAAAACTCACATCAGTGTAAACACCCTTACATTAAAGAGTGTGAGACTCAGGGGGAATGAGAAACAGAAGACTGACTGAGGTAAAGGTAAGGGATTTTATATTTACCGCCACTTCTGGAGTCATAGCTCCAACAACCGACGCCAACAACCTCCATCTTCCTAAATTTCGTGACAACAACCCACATGCGCACATACGTTAACCTCCTATTCTCAGAGTGATGGCTTCACTGAAATTATGGAGAGTCAGGAACTGTCTCAACTAGAAGTAACATTATTAACAAGAAATCCAGTCCGTTACAATAAATTCGGATGGACTCACAACAGCAACAACGTCAAATTAATGTTTGATATTAAACTCACATTAAACATGTCAAATAAACAACACGTATTTATCACTAAAAAACAAACTCATTTCAACGTGTTTTACTCATAGACTGTATGTAGAATGGACGCCATCTGCCTCCTCGCTGGATGAAGCCATCGTGAGAACAGCACCCTCTGGTGACGGGCTGCAGTATAGGTCATAAATCCCGCCTCCTTCAGCAATTCCTATGGAGCTGTGGACAAACTTTATAAATTAATGACACAGAACATAAATGTTTCTCCCCCCTGGTTGTGATGTTGACATGTAGTTACTGTCAGACTGGTTTGTGCTCAAGTCCTCTTTTTTTCTGTACAGCTCCATTTTTAAAAGTTATTAGGGGGTTCATGTTTCTTTGATTGACACCTGATACAGCCTATGGGTGTATGAAGACTCCGTGACTCTCCCTCCAACGCTACTGCGCAATGTTGGTTTCAGGAAGTGGAGAGAAAACGCAGAATTACCGAGAACTTTTCGGCTTCAAATCCATATACTGGTGGAAGGCGGAACCAAGTTGTCCATAGTAAATACAGTCTATGGTTGTACCTCTCAGATCTGCAGGGGCTCAGCAGAGGGCGCCATGCTAACATCAGAGCTGTTTCCAGAACCAACAAGAAAGAAAAAAATTAAGCATTTCGGCAAAATTACTTATTAACTCAAATCTATGTAAAAAAAAACAACATACAAATAGAAAAGAGAAATATTTCCAGTAAATATGTTCCTCACACCTTTTTCTCACCGACAGAAAATCACGAAAATCGTGGTTTGGATGGATCACACTCGGAAATCTTACTATGTGCTGATTTATGACTTTACTGGGAAAATGAAAAAACAAGGCAGCTGGTGCGGCTCAGAGCTGTAGCTACATGATGCCCGTTTTACTAAGAAAAGAAATGCTGCCATGCACCGGACATGACTTAGTGTTGCTATGGTGATAAGTTCTGTTTTCCATTTGAGTGAGCGTCCCATACCTGCGAGTCTTATTTATACCCTCCCTCCCCTTTAATTGAAGCGCCCTCCACAGCTGCAAGTGTGACTTCATTGTGAGTGACAGTAGGTAGTGAAGGGCGAGTGTGTAGAGGGTGGATTGGGTCGATGTCGCTCAGCTGGCCTGGGAAAGCCTCTGCGCTCCCTGGAAGAGCTGGACGAATCAGCTGGGGAGAGGAGAGTCTGGGTTTCCCTGTTTATGAAGCTGCCCCCGCGACCCGGCTCCAGATAAAGGGTAGAAGATAGACGATGGATGAAATATTGAAATGAAACAGACGCCAAATATTTAATGTTTTATCAAATATTTATTCGACTTCACTGTTTCCGTGTGTTTTTATTAATATTATTATGAAAGTGTCATGTGTTTGAGTTGATTGACAGTGTTAGGAGATGTACAGTAAAGGTTGAAGAAACTTCAGGCAAAAAAGTGTAAATAATAAATAAAAGATTACCGACAAACATTTCTACTGAGGAATTTCACTTTGGCTTCCTCCTCTTAAGTTTTCAAACTCGTACAAATACAGTTTAAACAGAAATGGTCAGTGGTGTTGTGGATTATTGTTGCTACGTTTAGCAGTGTGAGTGTCGAAGCAAGAAAACTTGATTCTGTTTTAAAAGTAGGAATAAAAATTTGTTAAAAAAAAGTGTCTCGTTCTCAAAAGAGTGATTTGTTACAGGTGAGTTAGTGATCCTCCTCCTTCTTCTTCAAAACGAGTCCTCCTCTGTTTTGTTGTTTTGCCGTTCCTGTGGGTCAGAGCTCTGCAGCCGCTTTAGCTGTCGAGAAGAAAACAAGGTGAAGACGTCAGAGCTCAATTTAAAGTTGATGATCGCACAATTCGCTGCAGTTTTTTGGTCTCATTGTTATTTTTAATCAACTGCACGATGTAAAGTTTGTTCCAGCTGCTTTTATAAACTCCTTGCATACTTAATACTTGGCTAATTTGCTGAAGCGATATAGACAAATGTTCCTGTGACTCGGCAAATCACTACCAAAACTAAGTGTGGAGGAACGGGAAGGTGCCGGAGGTGTCTTCTTTTTCTTCTTCTGCTGCTTCTTTGTCTTTTTTCTGTTTTATGGGATAAAGAGCCACTACTGCCCCCAATCAGGACTGTAATAATTCACCAGAATGGTAAATTATAGTCGTGGTTCTTCCACTGGTTACCACACGCCATAAAACAGAGGATAGATAAAGAAGAAGCGGCAGGTGCAAGCGAGCTAGCTAGCGGCAGCATCTCTCTGTGGGAGGATTAAACACTTTTTAAAAAATGACTTTTCAAGGTTATAAATTCATAATCAACGTCAGATCTTTGATATTTACACTTTCTAACACGTCTCTTAAATGTTTTTATTTACACTTACCATCTACCAGAATTGGTACACTTCAAAATAAAAGCAGTTTGACCACCAAGACAAAAAAAAAAAAGTCAAAATAAGAGCACAGCAATTGACTTTCTGGAGGTAATGTTTACGACAGAGGAAAAAGGGCCACGTAAAGAGAGAAAATTATAATGCAGGAATAACTTTAAAGTTGAAATTACAAGATTAAAATTGAGATTAAAGTTGAAATTTTGACTTTAATCTCGAAATTACGAGATTAAATTTGAAATTTCAAGATTAACAAATCGAAACAGTGTCAATAAAGTCAAAATTTCAACATTACAACATGTTGAATTTTGACATAACAAAATGTTGTGAATAATGTCAAAATTTCAAAATTAAAAAAATTAAAATTTTGAGATTGAAGTTGAAATTTTCAGATTAAAGTTGACATGAATAAAGTTGAAATTTTGACTTTTTTAAATTATGACTTTAATCTCTAAATTTTGGCTTAAATCTAGAAATAGAATAAAAAAAAAATCTCCCTCCTTTAATTAATTTCTTCTCTTCTTGTGGCCCTAATCCTCTTTTGTAAATTTTTCTATCATGGGACTGATGACGATAAATCATAACTTTCATCATCATTAGAAATGAATGATGATGAGTGGGTTAGTTTCTTTAATTTGTTGCAAAACTATTATTACAACTGAAGTGAAAGCTTCAATTATTGCATTGTTTTTTTTTTTAATTAAGATCATTACTGTCAATACATAACTAAAGTCCTGACAAACACAGGAGCATTTACGACCTCTGTGCATAAACAATACGACCGTTTTAACCCGTCTGTAGACTGTTTTTAGATTTATAAAGAAACACCAAACACCCCCTCTCACACTCATGAACCACCACATTTCAGCAGAGCGACGCTGAACGAAACCAACGAGGGAAAAACTAAAACACTCTGAGCAGAAACAAACCCCACACAGAAGGAGTCAGGACTGAGCACAGATTTATTTCAGGGACTTCAGTCAAAGTTAAATCAGTTTTAAATTTACTCTGTCTGTTCTGACTTAGAAACTATTCTGTCGTCATATTTCCTATCTTCAACTCACGGCTCATTTTCAGAGGTCAACAGAGTTCATTCTTCACCAATCTGTGCACAATCCTGACCAACACCTCACCGTTTACACACACAACACAACACAACACAACACAATAAACACTGTAAACACACACCCCTGGAGTGTTAGATACCTGATCGGACATTCTCACCGATTCTCCGGTCACTCAGTCTCTGCATGTCAGGAGCAAACAAGTCATTTGACCACAACGACAAACGTTTGTATTAAAGCACCAGATTTGTTAAAAGACAACGATGTTAAAAGAGGAACAAACATAAAAGTTAAAGTTCTGTGTGTGTTTTTAACGGAGGGATATTAGTGAGAAACAGTCTGGTTTGGCAGCCATCTTTGTCGGTGTTTAAATCTAAAGAGAAGTTGAAGGTTATTTTTAACGTTAACGACAGCACCGCCACACTGACCTGCCACCAGCTTCCCCTTCCGTGAGGCCTCGGACGCCAGAGCCTGGGACACGTTCATGATCCTCTCCTGCTGCTGCAGAGCCGAGTCCAGCTCACCCAAGTCCAGCGGCGCAGACGGCTGGATGTTCTGAACACTGAGGACGCAAAAACTCAGGATTTAAAAGCAGTAAATTCACAGAGACTTGAAGTCTTCTTTGACGATCTGAGAAGCAGTTGAAAAAAACTGAACCGTTGAGGCAGATCAGAGAGCACCGTGTCATCCCAGCAGTTCAGGTCCACTCTACCTGGATTTGGTCAGCAGGTTCTTGATGCGCTCGGCCCGGCGGGAACGCTCCTCCAGCTCCTCCGGACTCAGAGGTTCGTCAGAGTCCGACTCGATGTAGCGCTCTGGGATGGGGACTTTCTGAGGTTTGGCGAGCTGGAAGGTGAGCGGAGAGAAAGTCAGACCTGTACCAGTTTTGACTCAGATTCTTCTCCAGTGTGAGGACAGATAAAGCGAATTTCTGGTTTTTTTACCTCTCGGCTGATGTCCAGGTTGTACTCCTGCGGCTCAACGTCCACCTCTCGTATGTGTGCCGTCACTTTCACCCACCCCTCGTCCGACTGGATCCTCTCTCTCTCTTTCACTTGAATCCGCCCTTCGTCGCTCTGACCCTCCGCAACAGGTCGCTCCTCCTGCCAATCAAACACCTGGAGAGGGGGGAGGAGTCAGGGTTACACAGACACATCTGTTTATTTATGTCTACAGCTTTAACCTTTTGAAATGATTGAATTCATCCACACAGACTGGAGTTTTGTTTAAAAAATATAAACCTGGTTTGGATACCGATAGTTAACTGTTATCTGAATCACTTTACATGCAGAGTTACGGTTTTTAACGTCCCGGTGTCTTAAGCGCTTTCTTTAATTTTTAGAAGTCAGATTAGGATTCAAGAAAATCTGAATCAAAGTGTGTCTTAAAGGTCTTTTACTGTTTTTTAATTCATAGTGACACAAATGCGCTTTCCTCAAACCAGCTGAATGACATGCTAACATTGAGTTTGTCTGCAGTGTCCAACAGATCGTTTTACTACTAAAGGGTTCAAGCTGACCGAGAACTTCATACAGCCCCTCTTCAAAACCACCACTGAGGTCTCCCTGTAGGAGTCTCACACACGACAGAAGAAACTGTTAGTTGATTAATCAGTTATTGAACTGAGCGTTAAAATGT